AGAATTTGATCGTGCATTGGGTCCGTGGCCATAAAGTGGTCTGAGGCTTCTATAATCCACCCACTTGTACAAGACTAGACGCAGCCGTGGGTCGCCCAGCCCGTTACACGAGGTATCTAGCTTCCCGGTCACCCTTGTGGTCTTCTTCCTGGCCTGTTTAACGAAAATTAGGGAACCCGCGTTAGAATCCGACTTCTAACAGCGTTTACAGATGCAACTCGGTTTGGGTCTAGCGGCGCCCTAACTGAACTTCCGGCGTCTGGCATGTTTTTTGTTTTGAACAGATTTATGCGTTAAACGAATGGCGTTCACCCACCTTACCTCGTTGTAGTGTGCACTGTTTTGCACAGCTCGCTAAGGTCAACAAAACCAGTGAACTCTTATTCCAGTTCGATATACTTGTTTAATGTTTGTCGAGAGTATTAATCCTGCTTGTTGGTTTGGGCCTGTCCAACAGCAGTGTAGGGCAATGTTTTCCCGTTGCGCACTGTTACTTGTTGGCCAATCAATAAGCCAATCAGCGCCTGTATCGCCACGGTGGAGGTGGCGGAGTGTTGACCAGTGCCACTGCTGAGGAAAGTTCAGCGGGCCAACCTCCTCATATAGATGTCTCTCAACCAACGCACAATCTATCTGGTAACGTGTTCTTCCTCTCAGATACATTGATAAGCCATGGTTCCCTAATGTTCTAAATGTTACCTCACATGTGTTGGGCAGTTTCGAAAGCTGCCAGCGTCGAACAGTCGTCGATTTGGTGAATTGTGGATAACACAAGTCAGACTATCTCGCAACATTTTTAATAATTTCAAACACTGGACATTTCATTCTTGACATCAATGAGATAACTAAGAATGAGGCTGAAGAAACAGAAGAGCGAAGAAATGAAGAATAAGTGTTGGTTGCAAAATGAGATTATGAGGAATAAAGCCGTAAAGTGAAGGTTTATATGCTAGGCCAATCAGCTTGCTGATACCGGAATTTATTTGACTATACTGCCATAGGAATATCAAAAAGTGTCTCTTTTTATCGAGCTGGGTAAAGATACCTGCCAATTTAGCTAAACGTGGGCAAATCCAACTCTCATGGTAACCATTTCATTGGCCAGCGACCAGTACTTCGCGTTCACTCTGACTTGGGTGCCCCATTGTGTCTTCCAAATGAACGACAGCCCCTGAACGACAAGAACGAAGTCGACCCGGGAAAATTGGGCATAATCTTAGATCCTGTGTAGCAATCCGTGGATCCCTGGGAACGTCAATTGCGACAGCCGTTCTGTCGGCGTTTTAAAAAGATAACAACCAAAGGAGAGGTTATTCTCGGTGGATCTGTTAGTAGGCGTGTGTTTTGTCGGAAATTCCGCCTACACCGACGGAATCAGTATTCTCACAGTGGAATTGAATTTTTGAAAGCTACGACGTGCTCTTGATGGACTAAAGCCGACAGGAAAGTGGGTTCAGTGCAACAATCTAAGCCTTGGAATCCTATCTGGGTATCCTGGGGACTCACAGATGCTAGGAAAGTATTTCCCCAGATTTTTCTGCCGGAGTTATGTTTGCTTCAGAAATTTGGTGAACTGCAAAATTATGAATGGACATTAGAATGGAATATAGTTTGAGCACATAAGGAACGAAATACAACATTTCGGCGCAAAGCGTTTTTTTCCACCCGCAAAGGTTCTGCAAATAAGGGCTGATGCAATCACCATAAACTCGTAAAGGAGCTCTTGTCGGTTTGCCCCGTACAAACTGGATCTGCACCATAAACACCTCATTTGCGAATACATAGTCACTGATTTGTGTCAGTTGACAATTAAGAAAACTCGCGCCACATGCATGTGGAAACCGCGAAAGTCACCGGGGTCACTTAAAAAAGCTGTTGCAGTGCACATAATCCAAAGTAATGTTATTTTTATTGTTATTAAAATCCAACATAACCTTTCATGAGCGCCTCATGTGTCAGTAAAATGAGGAATCGAAAAGTCTCGGTAATGGTAATATTCGGAGCTAAGAGCATTGTCCTGTCAATGGGCCACATATATGCAGTGTGACCAGCGATAAATTTCTGGAAGTTATGACGCCTTCTGGATGCGCTATTGGCAAGGGGCATTCGACCAATACTGGGTCCGGACTTTCGACCAATCAGACCTCGGTTTGATGCTGGCCGGCAGGCGTAACGGGCTTTGGCGCGGGGTAGGCTTCTCGGCCGTTGCAGCACCTGACTACGAGAAGCGAAACAAATCCGTGTGGGATTAAACCTAATAATTAGTACGATTAAAGCAAGCCCGACGGAGCCACACGAAAATAGGGCTTTTATGTGTCCCCATGGATAGACCAATTGGTCTACTTAAGCATACTAATCAAGGGAATTGCGGACGACACCCAGACACTGTGATCTTCCTTTCATCGGAGACTGCATATCTTTTCAATGACTTTGTCAACAGCAAAATCGGAGAGAAACTAGGGCACCTCTGGAGCACAGAGGTAATGGGAGACAGCCGAGAGTCTTTGTCACACACTGACCTAGCCTGATGTTTCGTTTTGCAGCACCCGGATTACGTTTATTATGTTGGATGAATTCATAAGACGTTTCTATCCACGGGATCGAATTCCTCCTGTTTGTCCAGGAACATGACGGAAGATGGACACGTATAGGTCTGGGGCTTCAGTCATTCCAATACACAAGTTGGCCCAACGCACTTATCAATGATGAGAACCAGCTTGTTTTTCACGACGCACGATTTCCTCACGTTTCAGGAAAACCGCAAATAGTAATGGTTACCCAGAGTTGAATGATTCCATGGTTGCTTGAAAAATAGCTGAGTTCGACAAGGAGGCTGGTCTATTTTTAGTATATCAAGACTTCACAAATTAGACTGGTGCTTTGGTGGTGGTGCCGAGTACTGAATTCCACCCCTATCCTCTCTACACAGGACATTTTTTGGTCCGTAAAACTGTCTGGTTCAGTCAAAATTACGGTCCATGTGGAACTGATTCGCCCTTAAGGGCTACAGGTCAGCACACGTGAACTATGTCAAACTTACCGATGGAGTCAGCCTCTCATCTGTCTGTCTTGAGTTCACTTGAATCCTATCACATATAATGGTCGAATTTCGAACAAAAATCTAAACAATGACATGTGCTTCATCTCAGCTGACATGACAACAGATCGAAATGCGCCTGTGTCTAAACATAACACACTGGTACTTAATACAGTGAAAATTTACCTTCATGCGACTTACTTCTGAGACAGAAATGTCTCAGATACACACTAACCGACTACGGCGACCGGCTTTCATGTGTTCACAAGTCGTGATCCAGTGACAGACTGCGTAGACCACACGAGAACTGAACTACTTCGCATCCCTCTTCGCTGTACGCTACTAGGTTTTCAGGTGTTCCCAGAAACGACTTGTAATTGTGTGGTAGCTGGGTGATTCAGGAGATTGATGGAACCTATTCTATCGTGTTTGATAGCCTAAGTACTTGAGTGGGACATCCAAAGGAAGCAGACAGGAGACCGGGTTAAGATCGGTTATATCGTGGATGAACCAATGGAGGGAAGAACGTTGTGGTCAGCTGGCTACAACGGAGAGAAAATGAAATCTGTGAAATATTACCAAAGGTCGAATTGTTCGTTAGGACCTGACCTCACTAACAACGCAATCCTCGAGATTTTGTAGGGGCCGCGATTTTTGTGGTGATTTTGATGTAGTTCCTGTGTAACTAGCTCGCGGAGTACGTGCGTTAACTAGCGTGACCTGTGGATTGTGACTCGCTCATTTATCATGGGAGAGTCGATTTTCCCAGTTATGTACTTAGCTGGTAATTAAACAACCTAATCGTTAAGCTATAACACCATTTCGGTGCTTAGCTGCCACGCTATCCGAAACAAACAGTAGAGCTGAAGTACTTCCTAGACAGGAGCAGCCGAGATGGGAAGTTTGGGTTCGAGCCACGGGCCTTTCGCGCCTTAGCCATCTAACTTGGGATCGGACTTGGATCCTCTGGCTGTCGGTTACCGATAGCGCCTTTTCTGGGATACGCGAATTGACTCCGACCATGCCGTCGTGGAGCTTGGTTATCAGTTAGCCCTCCGCTACCATTGCGCATGCCGAAGCATATCGATTCCGTTCGTCGGCTTTCATGAGTTTCATTGGCTCCACGGTATTGAGCTGATCTGGCTAGAAAACTACTGGAGGTGCTCATTTGAGCCTCAAAATATGGTTGCCTGTTCAACAGCGATGGCTGCTACTCTCCCGCCTTCCTGGTACTGTAGGATAAGTGTAGCACTTAGCTTCCATCAACACGACATGGTGGAAGCCCCTGGTTAGTTTGCCCGTCGACGTGAGAAGTGATTTTAGGTTCGTCAATCCCTTTTTGATACATTCAGTTCGTTCGGTGAGGTTTAAAACTCCTCAGTAATATCGTGACTAGCTCTGACCGAAATGCATCTGCAGTGTGTCACTGCACGAATCCGAAACACTCGAATCATATTTACTAAGTTATTTCATTTATGGCGTCAAAAAGGTATCGTTTCACCTCCGTCACGAAGAGACTGGACCTTACCACTGCACGAGAAACACTCGAATCATATTTACTAAGTTATTTCATTTATGGCGTCAAAAAGGTATCGTTTCACCTCCGTCACGAAGAGACAGACTGTTACCGTGGTGTGACGGTTTGCGCACCTCAGCGATCCATTGAGCTATACTGGAGTGTCCCGCGACACTCAGAGTCTCTCATACCAGGTTGGTCAATGGTTAGAGGTCTGACGAACACAGTATCCTGGCCCTCCAGGTTGGGGGTTGGAACATGTGGCGACTTGTTCCGTAGAAATGGTAATGCATTTGCATTTTCCGCCAAACACCGCTGCCTTGCGATTAGGCTTTTGAGCCAAAGGCTTTGGTTGAGGACCCTAATCGTCCTCCTGTCTAGGTGTGGGTGCCCTGGCAGTATCCCAGCCCACGTACAACCATGAACTGCACATACACAAATAAACTCATGCCACATCGGCCGTCGCGTGGTGCCATCAGCCGGGTCGCCTTACTTGCTGCATCCAGCAGGGCGGGTAAGCGAAAACAGGCTACTGCTGGCGCCTCCATTCTTTCTGCTTCACATGCTTTTTCTTCCCCCTCTCCCCACCCCATTACTAACTCTCTCCTTGTAGGCCCAGCACTTAGGACTGATGACTCCGTTCGTCATGCATCGGTTTT